AAGCTATTCGTTTGCATTTATACGCGTCGGGAGTTTTTATCGCGCGGTCTATGGCAGACATTTGTTAAAGTTCTCAGCCTCGCGATGTAGCTCACAAAAGCCGTAAAATATTTCTCGTTTCAATTCGGAAAGAATTCACCAGCTTCATAAACACATTTGTACTGCTTACGACTATTTTTTCGCAACGACGAGATTCGAAAGAGAGATACTTCTCTCGTATCTCTTCCGCAGTACGTTTGAATGTCGTTCGGAGTCCACGATTGAAACGAAAAGATTCTCGCGGATCGTTGACATCCATTATTATTGATTAATAGACCGGGCTTTTCAGATTCGTAGTATGTCTCTCATTAATCATCGCGAGCACGACGAAGCCGAACGTAACGTTGAAGTAATATAAGTAATGATGCAGCACGGAGTAAGATTAATGTAGCTTCGTGAGCGAACCGTTTGTTTAATTAAGCTTATTATAGTGGCTGACGGTGCTTTTGTTTCGAAGCAATCGAGAACGAATCTCGTTACAATTTTTACTTTTGCCGCCAGCACGGCACTCGACGGAAATGTATCGTGCTGATAATTTTTGATACTTCTGTAGCGATAGTTCTCGCTTGTTCCGATCAATTTCTATACGCGAGTAAGTCATTTTCAAAAGTTGTTCCGCCTTATAGACATTTTTAAAGCAATTTTTACTTTTTTTAAAAGAATGATCTTATAGAACAATGTAAATGAAAAATGTAACAATCTCTTCCTTTATAAACATGTAGCATATCTTTTCTTGAAAAAGATGCTTTTAGAAGAATTTTTATTATCTGGCATGCTGTAAATATTTTCGAAAACGTAAAAAACGCATCGCGTTATAGTCCGAACCGGTAACTTTTTACAAAACAAAGATTATTGAAGTGTGCACGGTTCAAGTTTTAACGAAGGGTCCGGCGCAGCTCGACGGGTGAAGAATCTCTTCCCCTCAGGATAAGGGAGGGTAAGGAAGGACGAAAGATTCGGGGAAGTACATGCGCTTCGTTATCGATCTTTGGGTTATTTTTTTTCAACCTTTCCGCACCCACGTACCTACGGAGTGGAGTAATCTTACCAATCATTGCCATTAAGAGCCTAACATGATACGATTTATGTTTCGATGTGGCGCATTTTATTTTAGCCGGATGGTTTAACGTTAAGAGGATGTAAGTGTCGAAAATGTAATTTGGGCAGACAAATGACGGTCCAGGCATGATATATTAGTGGTACTTATAAGACCTTTTCACGAGCACGCCGCGTAAAATATGTTATTATACAATCATCCTATTTTTCATTTGCTTAATATTATAGTTGTAACTAAAAGAACCGAGTAGTGTGTTTTATTCATTTAAAATTGATTTAACTTATTCAAAAAATCCTCAAAATGTAATATATTTGGTACTTATACATTTAATTCTTTACACATAAAAAGTGGAATTTTTATAAATTAAAACTATTCATTACTAGATTATATCGCCAGAAAGATTAAAAACGTGAATTTATCGAAAGGGTTAGAATAATAATTATTTGTGTAACAAGGACAGAGCTTAGAGATGATAATAATGGAATATTTTCGAAACTTATTACACTGTTAATTTAATTTAATTGTTTAGTTATAAATTTCTAAAAGTTAAAAAATCGATAGTAATTTTATATCATAGATAATCTATTCTTAATACAAATTTTGCATATATTGATAACTTCATATATCATACGCGCTTTTTTTAAACATAGAAAATCTTATATATATAGAAATCTTATATAAGCAGATACATATATAATACTGCTTCGGAAAACTGTAAACGGTTCCATTCTTGCAGCTTCACCTGCTCGCAAAGTTTCGCGTGCAGACTCAATTCATCACCTTTACGAGACAATGGCTTTTCCAATAAGTGAAACGTTTGAATGGATTATTATCCGATAATTCGTCGCCGCATGGCAGGATGCAACCGATAACAATAAACGTACACGCGTCGCGATACTAAAACAACATCCGCCGCGGGCGAATAATGGAAGTGCCGTGTCGTGAATTTGAATTTACAACCGCGGGCCGCTTGCGTGTCGCCCATAATCCATAAGGAACCGACTCGCAGTTTCTCGCGTTCTCACCTGCAATTGCATCGACACGTTCCCGTCATTGCAAGTGCCATATACACGGTCGTTAATCCGCTAACGTATAGTCGGGGAAGATTTTCTACAGCCAGAAATCGCGCATTGGTTATTCGCGAGGCTGCCTTAAGGCACATACTCGGATAGTGAGATTCTCTAAGTAATTCGTAATCTATTCGCATGCGCGCGACTATAAATTTTACTCGATTGTCGCAAAACTACTGGAAATGCAGCACATACAAATTAAAATATATAATCATATATGCGCGATGAAGAATCATATAAATAGATTATTTGACATATTTTAAAAATCTTTCTTATTAAAGGCAAGCGATGATGGAATTAATGTATACGGAAAACTTATTTAATTGGTCGATAATCTTTTGTTTGCACTTTATTTAATATTTTATAACTAATTGTTGTAAATAATTAGGATACTTCTCTTTCACAGCGAAGTTTCCAAGTGTCTAAATTTTTACACATTTTATCTGTGTTCTACACAGTTAAATGCGTATTTTTTACACGCTTACACATATTATTGTAAAATTAAGCGTGTAAAAATATGCATTTAACTGTGTAAAACACAGATAAAATATGTTACAAATATAATACGCGTATAAATGCATAAAAAGTGCCTACAGATTTACACATTTGGATCTGGAGTGTTAGACCTGACAAAACTCGATATATTTCTAGAAGGAACAAAATTAATTTGAGAATAGGCGCGATATGGTTGTCCTGTACATGCGTGTGCATGCGTGCATTGAACGCGACAACGACTCGAGAATGCGTTTCCAGTTGCATCGGCAGCTCCGAACGCAAGTGCGGATATATCACTGAATTATTTGTACGCTCGTCATTCGCGAGACATTATAGACTCTTATCGCTGTATATTATACACACGTGTACACGCACCATGCGCATGCGACGAAGAATGTGTTACGATAATCACTCGTGTTCGGTAGCGATACATCGCCGCGCTGTATCAATTCAAATCGAAACAATTCAAATTTCGACATTCTTGAAGTAAAATAAAAATGTAGGTAATAATATTATAAATGATATGAAATGTGTGTAATCTGAGAGACATGCAGTGTACGAGGCATCGTATCATTTCGTTTTATACATTTTTTTAATCAATTCGGAATAGATTTCTTTTCTGAATAAATATGCAGAGATGACTACGTGACTAGTAAGTGCACAAAAATCTAAACGTTTTTTAATTAGAAATTAATTATTTCGATGCGATTGCGAAATCTCATTCTTCATTCAAATTCAAGGTGATTCTAAATTAAGGGAACTTTACTAACTTAAGACTTAGATTGAACAGAAGTGAAAAATTCATTGAATAATTTTTTAATTCCGAAATCCTGAAAGGTATATTTAATCTGAACTCGAAAAGAACACTCAATTTAAACTTCGAGAAACCTGAGAAATATCATAAAGTCAGTCGGTCAGATAATCGTGCTGTTTCTTTCATGTCCGTCTCGCATGTCTTCCCCATTTTCATTGCGCTTTACGATTATTGACGTGTAATAAACTGCGAATGTACAGAATTTGTAAGATTGTATTTAGTAAATGCGCGTACGAATTTGCGAAGAGTACAACGCGATATTTTCTCGAATTTATATTACATTTATCTTGAAATATAATAATATTACATTTGTATGATGCATTTGCTAACAGCGTAGGAGATGATTTTTAGCAACAATTAATGTTATCGAAAGAAAATATAATGTATAATTTTAATACAAACATTGTTTATTTCATGAAGAATTAATAGGTATATAATAAGATTGTATATTCTTTATAGTGAAAAATATAATGAGATAGTAAGAATTAATAGACAAATATATGATAAGATAATAAAACAAACGAGTATGTAATATACCGGATGTCCCATTTTAAATAATGTAGTCAATTTTCTCTTAATTTGACGATTCGTAAAAATGCTTCGGAAGAAAGTGGAACGGTTTCAAGAGGGACGTATTTTGGTCAAGTTGTTTTTTGTCTAGATGAAGATGCCAAAAAAATATGAAAGTCACCTTCACCTATTTTAAAATGAAATTATATAATTCTTCTAATTATATTTGCATATAAAAGTATTAAGGTAAAGTTGTCGAAAAATCACTTTACGAGATAGTTTATATTTTATCGTGCTATATTTTGATATAAAATATGAAATATCTCGTAAATTATTGATTTCTTAATGATTGTACCTATCATATTTTTATGCACAGAATAATGAGATGGATTGATTGGTGTGAAGAAAACTGTATATTCATACAAAGTAAAAGTAGTAACTATGGATAAAACATTCAATTGAAAATTTTAAATTATTTAATAGCTTCAAATTGTATCAAATTATTTGACCTTGCATTTTCTCGAGAAACGATCGTTGCGCACGATTGCGCGTAACAATCCACTTTCAGGGGCAAACGAAATCGCATAATATCTCGGCTTTTCACGGGCGCCGGAGAAACTCTTCGTACTTTTATATCGCGCGAATATGATTTCATCGCACATTTTTACAGTATTCAATAATCTTTTGACATCATGGACATCACGGTAACGATTTGCGATAATTATTTGCAATTATTAGAGCAATAATTATTTGAAATTGTAGCACAACCATCAATAAATAAATTGATTTTTATCATTTCACTTTTTAAGTTTTATAACAAATAATAGCACGATAGTATAGCATATAGCGCATATAGCGATATCAATGTTACATATAAAACGGAAATATCTTTATCTTTTAAATGATATATTTTAATCGGAACTCTTTACACCGTTGAGTAGTTAACGATAATAAATAAGTGGAGCTATATTATTATTTGGTTTTTAGATGAATTCAAACTATGTATCAATATTTACAAAGTTCTCGCACACATGTTATTCTTTAACCTTTCCCAAACGTTTCTTAATGATGTAGACGTTATGTCGTCGTCGTGTTTAGTAGACTACAGTCTAAGGTAATGTTCAGACATAATGGCAGAGCAAAGAAGATCGGAGCAAAGAAATTGGTTATTGGAACATTCTGTCCTGGTACAGCACCATGGCGATACAAGATATCTTTGCAACACACAATCTGTTGGGCCTTGCTCTAAATTATATAATAGTAAGGAAATGGAAGTTCATTTATACCGTGTTCACGAAATATCTGGTGATGACTCCGATATTCGCCGAAGCAGCTTGATATGGAGATATTTCAATAAAACAGACAAACAATACTCCATGAAATGCAGAAAGTGTAAAGATTTCTGGGTTTCTTGTAACCGTGGTGTACAAAATTTAAGACGACACGTAATGGATTGTCATTGGGACGACGTAAGAGTTTATCAAGCTGAACTTACACGTACGTGGCTGTCGCGACATTTGAAATTGGACGAATTAACTATGAAGGTGAAATGCGTATATGGTGGATGCAGTTATAAATGTTGCATGTATCGAATGGATAAAATAATAGGCCACTTGTTCCGACGACATAACGTAACTGAAGGAATTGCAGAAAATGTTTTATCAAGTAAGTATAACGGAAAATTAATCGGTAGAAGAAAAAAAAACGTAAAATCAACTTCTCATTAGACTGATACATATATGTATATGCAAGCAGAAAAAAATCGCAAAGTGATAATGGTATGAATATTTGTATATTTTTTTTTCTTCATTTATTCATATATCCTTATATATAAGATGAACTCGAGAATTTGGATATTTAGCATGTGTTTGTTAAATTATTTGAGTTTGATAATTAGAATATATATTTTATGTATTTTATTCAATATTTGAGTTAAAAATTGCATTTAGTTGTAAGGTTTAAAAACTTAAAATTACTGTTATTTATGTACTATTTGTATATTCAATGATTGATAGAATTTTTCTATGTTTGGATATTTATTTATTCTCGACTTCGAATACTGTTTAAGTATAAACATTCGATTTATATTAGATGACATTTTTGTTTTGGATTAATCATAAAATAATGTACTCGATCGAATTTTGATTCTGTAACAATACTAATTACACAAGTATATATTTCATTTTTTAAATTCATTATTTATTTTAGCTGAACATAAAGATTCATTTCGGAGAGAATTTATGAGAATTATGGATCAGGATATCAATGACTGGCTTTCTGTAATCAACAAACGGCTTAAGTCTCATGAGCAGCAATTATTTAATTTGACGAAGAAAATATCAACTTTTCAATAATGATATAAATTAAAATTTCTTATATCGAATTTTTCTTACATGTTTATAATCGTTTTTTTATGTAATGTTTGTATGAGAGATAGAGAGGGAGGGGGAAAAAGAGAAAGAGCTATTAAATATCAGATATTTTAATATATTCAAACTATTCGAAAAGATTAATGCGTGGTTACTTAAATCCAAATATTACAATTATTTTGATAATTCAAATATTAATATTATAAGAACAGAATCTAAAAATATATTAAATAAAGTTATTAACAACAAGAATTAATAATTGCAAAATATGATCTGCAATAGTAATTGCAAAATATAATATGGCAAAGTTAAAGATTCATATAATTTGGTAACTAATCATTTTTAGATATCTTAAAATGAGTGATTTTTATAGACCTACGTATTATTTATTTTGTACAAAATCCGTCATTATAATTTATGGCAAAATAATCTTTTATTACACTGAATTTGTATTGAAAATCCATTAATGTGTGAAATATGGTTTTGATATTGTTCGCCTTATTTCAAAAGTTAATGTATAAGAGTAATGTATCAGTTGTTGAATAAATAAAAGTTTATGTAAAAATGTAGATATTTTTACAAATAAGATAGCATTTTTTAAAAATTGTGATTATTTATTTATTTCATTATTAATTGGGAATATATCAAATGCAACTTCGAAAACTTTTCTGTTATATATTAGAATTAACTTAATTTTAATAACATTCTTTAAGTACAATAGTATGCTCCAAGATCACTATTTTTTAAGTGGTATTTCATATTATATTTAATTCTTGTTTCTCTTGTTTCTTCACATAAGCAATACAGGCTACAAAATTGACATGTTGTTGCGCGCAGTTGCTATCATGAACAAATTTAAATTTATATACAGTCTGTTTATGTATGCGAAAAATATTATAAGATATGAATTCCGTGCTTCGGTATTTTTAACGAATAACAGTTTATAGTCCCGTGAAACAAAGTAAATTTTCTTATTGCCGTCATTAGCGTCGCGTGTGTGCGTGCGTTACGGTGTTCCACGAACGCGGATGCACTCGATGTAGTTCTGGAAACGTATGGGAATTCGCATTGCGTAGAGATGCGTTTCTTCTGCCCGCGCTCAGAAGGACGTGCAATTTAGGAAATATGCGCGCAATCATATCTAATGTTGCCGTAATGAGGCATTCAATTTGCGAGGTACCCTCAAAGATATGAAGATGCGAATTGTGAGAGATGTTTCCGATATACATGCGACTGTTTCTATACGTATTTATACAGATAGAATTTTGACATTTCATGAAATTATTGTAGCTGACTTAACAATGAATAGCGTCTTATTATCATCGTGTCTTAGACACATCCTAAATTGTACATTTGTCTTGCGAGAGATTCCTGAATTACATTTCGTTAATTCACTGGTAGAAAATGACATAAAATCGTGAAATTCTTTGTGTGCAAGTTTTTTTTTCACGGATAACCGATCACTCATATTTCCGATTTGATTGAATAATAATGATAATGGGATATTATACTACGATAAAAGTTACGAAATCTAATGGCGTAACAGTCCCGTTATTAATCGGCGTACCCGTATTACGCGTGGGTGAAATGCAGGAAATGTGGAAAGGTGAAGTGCGCTGCAGCTGCGCAACAATATCGCGTGCAATATTGCTGCGTGCATTATATGCGGCGCTGCACGAAAGGTGCTCTTGACACTGCGCACGTACACGCGCACGCACGTACACACGTACCTACGTATCCACGATGCACATTGCGGAGGTGCGTTGAAAGATCGTTGGATTCGGATCGCGTCGCGTCGCGGACGCGAACGTCTCCGATGATTTTTGCAGTAAAGACCGTGGATAGTCGCGCGTGGAAAATCGCACGCGAGCGTTTTCCGTGGACGCGAATCGTGTCGGCGATGAGAGGAAAGACGGACGAAAAGCGAAGTGAGACGTCGCCGTGAGCGAGAGATAGAACGATAGCGATCTTTTCTTCCTCCCTCCGCCCGCGCGGCAGTATCCGCCGCAGAGTAACATTCCGCCGGATTATGCTAATCGGTCGTGGCCGCGGACACAACGGCGCACAGCGCCGCAATTTCGCATTGCCCCGCGTGCGCGCGCCATGCCCACGGCGCGGTACGATCAACGAGCCAGAAATCATTACGCATGATCGCGCTAAGGCTGCGGCGCCCCGCGGCAAAAGTGTAAGCCGATATCTCGAAAATGCGTACCGTCGTTGAAAAAGAAAAAGAAAGAAGAAAAAAAGGGAAATGCGCCGCGGTTTGCACGTGTTTCCCTCCTGAGAGAAGGTGACGCGGAGATTCCGTCGTTCACTCGACAAAATGTCCTCTGCGGAGATATTCACTCGCGTTACACGGATCGATACCCATTCGAAATGTGCGCGTGGAAGAAATTTTATCGGCGCTTTCGGCAGTGAATTCTTCCCGGAACTGCATCAAGTTCATCCATGCAATACCATGAAGTACCCGTAATAGCAAAGTTTACTTTGTTTCACGAAACCGTGAAGCGTTAAAAAATGCCAAGAAACGGAATGCGTATTTTATTTTCCGTTTACATAAACGGACTGCACGCATTCAAATACAGGCAAACTTGTTTGCGAGTTTTGCGACAGCGGCAATGATATGTATACAAAATATTACCCCTTTACCCCTTATGAGTACACGCGACTGGATTATTTATATTGTAATTAGTTCTATTTATATACAATTTTTTTAAACACAATCATACAAATATTTCCTGAAGATGTTAAAGTTGTTTATCTAAGAATCACTCGATAGTTTTTGTATACTTTATTTTCTTGTAGAAATGATGAAATTTAACTCACACTTGCCAGACACGAACGATCTATCGTTCTAAAATCTTCTTGAAAAATTATCGTGCGGACAAAGGTTAATTTTCAAGTTTGCTAATTAAAAAGAATCGACAAATATTAACTAGCGAGAAATAGCCTTTATAAGAAATGAAGAATCTCGACAAATTGCACGGTCGCGCGCACGAACGCAACGCGCATCGGTTGCGCCCGACATACATATCTCTCGTGCCTTGCAATTCTCTATGTGCGGTGAATAATTCCGCGGTGCGACTTTGTAGGCGTGATTTACATTGTCGCTTCTCTGTGCGGCTTATACAGTTATATACCTCGCGCCTACTCGGACTCGTGTTCGCCTCACATGACAAACTGCGAATATCTCGATGTGCACTCTTTGTCTTATACGCGCGCAAAAGGAGCTTATTCGGAAGACGCGCTTCTACGATATTTTTTTAGATTCTTTATTGCATCGTTTACATTTCAGATATTTTATGTTATTATATGTAATCATTTATAGGATTACGTTTTAAATATTTTACGTCATTTTATGTAATTATTCGTCGGATTACATTTCACGGATATTACCGTTAGTATTTATATCATTAAAGTTTAAAGTTGCAGCTCACTTACGTTGAGATACGCTCCAGGATGAGATATCCTCGTAGCGGTGCAGCACACGGAAGAGCACGCTAAATTTTGCCCAAGCAGCGCTCAAATCCCGTCCAACTCGTTTAATAAATTCGATTTATAAGCACATGTATATCGCGGAAAATACATGTATATCGCAAGTTCGTAGTAGGAGTATCTAATACTCGCCGCGCGATAGCCGTAGAACCGGCTGGCATGAAGCTCGCCATTAATTACCGCCGTCAAATTATAACTCTAGGTTTTAATTACGCTAATAAAATTACATCCCGTGCGTTATTGCCGCGTGCAATATTCCCATATGTTAAAATACGCTCTTCCGCGGTAGAAATTCCTGCACGATGACGCTGTCGATGCACGATGTATGCAACTGCAACACTGTGAGCCGGGTTTACAGCTATTGACCGCATTGGAACAGCAGTGAGGGGAAAACAGGATGCTGCGAGGAAGCATATGTGTCGTTGAAAAAGCTTCTGCAGTAAATAAAATTCCCGTTACAAATTTCCCGTCTCAAAACGTTTCATAAAATATTTTAGAATTTATATTTAACTAAAGATGCTCCACAGAACTTTTTTGAGTAAGTAAATTTAGGAAAATCATTTGAGATGATAGTAATATATAATCAATAATATTAACATTTTCTCTATAATCGAATGAAGAATCGATATTAAAATGCAGCTCGATAATCCTTTTCGCGCGGGAATCTCACGAAGATTTCGCTGATCTTCGTAAAGCTTAAGAAGTTTTCGGGATTTTTTTTTTTTACATATTATATATGATTACGTCAGAATAATGTAGCATTTAAATTTATACATCACGTTTATAATTATATAAATATTTGAATCTCTTCACGGTTATTAAATATTCGACATTCGAGATAATCGCGTCCATTTAGTCCGGACAAGCGTTACCGGCTAGCGTAGTTAATCCTACCACGGGACTTACACACGCAATGTACGCGTCCAACAGGGCTTATCTATCTTCGTAACAACATTGTGCGCGGTGCCTGCGTACGTGGTGTGCGTGCGCAGAACTCTCTCAGCGTTTGAAGATCGCAACGCGCGATCGAGTATTCCGCGCGAGTGAGGTATACGCACCTAATAAATCCTCTACATGTCTCGCATGAAATTACTATAATCATAGAGTAATCCTGCGATTAGTTTTAAAACAATGCGCGGAGATCGCGATAGCCGGGACGGGGTAATTAAGATGCAATAAAAGTGCAGCTTTTTTTTTTCATTTCTTATCGAGCACATTGTGTTTGGACGCTCATAAAACACACTTAATCTTCGAGATTTAATTCTTAGGTAGCACAATTTTTTTAACTTCTTTCTTGAGAATATAATCTTATTATTGCACAATTTAGAAGTTTACAATATAACAATTGTACCACACTGATCGCAAATCCGCGCTATTCGTTCGAACTACTCTTAACGTCGATTTCAATTCAGCCATGTTTTCGATAGAAATTCCTCGATAGCAGCAGTCTCGAAGACCGCAAGCCTAGATTGAATATCCTGAAATACATGGACATTCCCGGCTTCCCATTATGTGCAGTCTCGC